GGCGTAGTAAGAATGCAAGAATGCTTCTTTTTGCGAGACTGTCCTTGAAAGAGATCATGTCTCGACTTGTTTTGGATTTTCTCAATGGCAGTATTAATCTGACTATTTTTGAACCACCTCTCCTTGAAATATCTTTGCATCTCAGCCATATTTCTGTCGATATCTGATTGTTTTTTGCACATTCTTTTGATTCGACAGAATTGGCTGTAGGGCAAATTGTTTTTCAAGGGAAGCGATTGACAGCTATCAGCCCTCAAAAAAACTGTTAAGATCAGTAGGTTTCCTGTAAAGATCAGTGTGTAGAACATTATCCTCACGCCAAATCAAAAGATCAAGGAAACTGATTTGACATGTGTCAGATTGCATAGTAAACCCCTACAAAAAAAACAAAAATAACATCAATGTACCGTTTCTAAATAATAATGTTAGGCAAGAATTTTAGACAACTGCTTGACAACACCTTTTACAAGAAACTCAGAAGTGACCCCACTTCCCAATTTCAGAACACTATCTTTACTATCCTAGATGGGTATTTAAGTTCTTGTCAAATCACCAAAAAAGAACACCACTTTTTGGCTATTCAACACCCCAAAATTGACACTTTCTCTACTTTGCCTAAATTACACAAGAATGTTACAAAACCTCCGGTGCGCCCAATTGTAGCGGCCATTGATTTGGTAACGGCCCCTTTATCATTAATGCAGTAACGACTTGTGTTGACTATTTTATTAGACCAGTCTCAGAACAGCTCCCCTCCTTTGAAAAGGACAGCAGCAGTCTGATCTCTATTATGGAATCTCTTGATCCTCTCCCTGAGAATACCTTGTTACTTACTTTTGATATTGGGTTGTTATGCAGTAATATTCCACACGAGGGCGGTGTTTAAGCCATGGAACATTTTCTTCAGCAACGTGACCCTAATGAACTACCTTCCAGTGCATGCATTATAACATTGGCTGAAATAGTACTCGCACACAACTATCTCATGTTTCTAAATTATGTCTTTATCCAGACGGAGGGTACTGCTATGGGATCCCCTATGGCTCATAACTATGCTAATATATGTGTGGGTTATATGGAGAAACAGTCAATTCTCAATCCTCTCACCAAATAAATATTGCCTAATATTATTATTTGGAAACGGAACATAGATTATATTTTTGTTCTATGGAAGGGTGATGTTAACCAGCTCCAGGCGTTCAATGCTTTTCATAACTCTTGTTCTGAGCACCTGAGATTTATTATGCAATCTGACACATGTCAAATCAGTTTCCTTGATCTTTTGATTTGGCGTGAGGATAATGTTCTACACACTGATCTTTACACGAAACCTACTGAACAGTTTGTTGAGGGCTGATAGCTGTCACTATGGTAATATTTTATGTATCATTAAGGAAAATGTTGGGAAATGTCAAAGATAAAATATAGTAAACATGATTGACATTTTATAATCCAGATGCATGTCTAAATAAGGAATACAGCCAATACAGTGTGTAAACGTGCTTTAATGAATGTATGTATATTGTTTGAAAAGTGTCTGAGCCACGCCACCAATATAATGAGATATGGAAAAAGGAAAAGCGCCCATAGTCTTTTGGAGTAAACAACATGTGTTGTTGGACGTTGGAAGATAATAGTGGCGTGGCAGTTAAAGATGTTAATCAGTGATCTTAAGGGGAGTAGCTTTGTAAGATATGTATACATGACTGTGCATTTGTGTGTGTATATAAAATAGATATTTTCAAGGAAACTCACACCCTGGCTCAACATACAAGTGTCCCCAGAGCCAGGGCGTGACACCCTTGAAAAACAGTTTGCCCTACAGCCAATTCTGTCGAATCAAAAGAATTTGCAAAAAACTATCAGATTTTGACAGAAATATGGCTGAGATGCAAAGAAAACTCAAGGAGAGGGAGTTCAAAATGGTCAGATTAATACTGCCATTGGAAATATCGAAAACAAATCGAGACATGATCTCTTTCAAGGACAGTCTTGCAAAAGTAAGCATTCTTGCATTCTTACTATTGGCTATTCACAGTAATCTGAAAAAATTAAGGGAATCTTTCACAAACATTGGCGCATTCTAAAATACAGGGGCGCAACTTTGGTTTTAGAAGTAGGGGGGGACATCATTTTATTTTTTATCTAGTCGGATAAACACTCCAAACAGCCTACCCAACCGCTCGGAGGTGTCCGCATGGTCCGTTGCCTCGTTATGTATCACATTCCAATGATAAAACTGGGGGGGACGAAAATGCAATTTCAGAATGTGGGGGGGGACATGTCCCCCAGTCCCCAATGAAAGTTGCGCCCCTGCTAAGATCCGATGACAGTTTTGGTAATGTGTTTTCGGACCCTCCGTATCCCATGTGACTTCTACTAACATGTGAGTGAACAGGTGGCTAGCAATGTTCCCTCTAAACTGCGCGTGTGTGCTGAATCGCAGCTTCCCCGGACTGCCACACAGAAGAAATGATCGCCTGCGCAGAGAAACACGAGATTGAATTTCACTCAACTTTCTAGTTCTCCCCTTTAGTTAACACTATCAATGTTTCCCTCTACTGTGGGAATTGCCAATATTAGCCACTTTCAATGCAACATAATGAAACAAAAATAACTATGCAAGAATTAGTATGCAAAACTAACTATGCAAGCAGAACACACCGAATTAGGATTCTACTGCATTGACAGGCAAGCCTTAGTCTATACTCTACAGATCGATGAGTAGATGCGTTTGTTTTGAGATCAAAGCGAGAGCTGCATGTAGCCAAATGTGCACATTTGTTCATATTCTTTGCTAGTACAGTGAGGGAAAAAAGTATTTGATCCCCTGCTGATTTTGTACGTTTGCCCACTGACAAAGAAATGATCAGTCAATAATTTTAATGGTAGGTTTATTTGAACAGTGAGAGACTGAATAACAACAAAGAAATCCAGAAAAACGCATGTCAAAAATTGTATACATTTATTTGCATTTTAATGAGGGAAATAAGTATTTGACCCCCTCTCAATCAGAAAGATTTCTGGCTCCCAGGTGTCTTTTATACAGGTAACGAGCTGAGATTAGGAGCTCACTCTTAAAGGGAGTGCTCCTAATCTCAGCTTGTTACCTGTATAAAAGACACCTGTCCACAGAAGCAATCAATCAATCAGATTCCAAACTCTTCACCATGGCCAAGACCAAAGAGCTCTCCAAGGATGTCAGGGACAAGATTGTAGACCTACACAAGGCTGGAATGGGCTACAAGACCATCACCAAGCAGCTTGGTAAGAAGGTGACAACAGTTGGTGCGATTATTCGCAAATGGAAGAAACACAAAATAACTGTCATCTCCCTCGGCCTGGGGCTCCATGCAAGATCTCACCTTGTGGAGTTGCAATGATCATGAGAACGGTGAGGAATCAGTCCAGAACTACACAGGAGGATCTTGTAAATGATCTCAAGGCAGCTGGGACCATAGTCACCAAGAAAACAATTGGAAACACATTTCGCCGTGAAGGACTGAAATCCTGCAGCGCCCGCAAGGTCCCCCTGCTCAATAAAGCACATATACAGGGCCGTCTGAAGTTTGCCAATGAACATCTGAATGATTCAGAGGAGAACTGGATGAAAGTGTTGTGGTCAGATGAGACCAAAATCAAGCTCTTTAGCATCAACTCAACTCGCCGTGTTTGGAGGAGGAGGAATGCTGCCTATGACCCCAAGAACACCATCCCCACCGTCAAACATGGAGGTGGAAACATTATGCTTTGGGGGTGTTTTTCTGCTAAGGGGACAGGACAACTTCACCGCATCAAAGGGACGATGGACGGGGCCATGTACCGTCAAATCTTGGGTGAGAACCTCCTTCCCTCAGCCAGGGCATTGAAAATGGGTCGTGGATGGGTATTCCAGCATGACAATGCCCCAAAACACACGGCCAAGGCAACAAAGGAGTGGCTCAAGAAGAAGCACATTAAGGTCCTGGAGTGGCCTAGCCAGTCTCCAGACCTTAATCCCATAGAAAATATGTGGAGGGAGCTGAAGGTTCGAGTTGCCAAATGTCAGCCTCGAAACCTTAATGACTTGGAGAAGATCTGCAAAGAGGAGTGGAACAAAATCCTTCCTGAGATATGTGCAAACCTGGTGGCCAACTACAAGAAACGTCTGACCTCTGTGATTGCCAACAAGGGTTTTGCCACCCAGTACTAAGTCATGTTTTACAGAAAAAAAATGCCTAGCTTGGCCTATAGGAAATTACTAAATGAAGCGCAGGACCCAATTTACCAATACAATATCACCCCGAGCATTGGTAGTAGATTTTGGTTGTCTGACAGTGTTGATTTTGGTCCATTATCATACAAATGTATTCAGTCATTAATTGATAAATCAAGGCTGTATATGTAAAAATAAAATTATTATTTAACTATTATTTTTACTTTAGAGACTCTTCTAAATGAACAGCATAAACATGTATAGTATTGCAAAGTGAACACCACAGCTGTGGTACAATGAAGACAGGAGGAGATAAAGATTGTTAGTATTATTATAATTGTTTAAATTGTTCTTTAAAGGTAGACATAAAGACAGAATATAATAATATAATATGCCATTTAGCAGACGCTTTTATCCAAAGCGACTTACAGTCGTGCGTGCATACATTTTTTTTTGTGTATGGGTGGTCCCGGGGATCGAACCCACTACCTTGGCGTTACAAGCGCCATGCTCTACCAGCTGAGCTACAGAGGACCAATATAATCAACAGTAACAAATTATAATTCACTGGTTATATTAACACATATGCATTAATCAAGGTTACATTGGTTATAGCCTAGAAATAAAGATTGTTTAGAACAGCTCTCTCAGCCATCATTGTGGTCTAACAGTCTCATGTTTGCCACCCGGCTCACATTTCTACCCTGTGAAATTATGCAAGCTTATACAGGGTAGTTGTTGAGGTTTATCACCCACAGTTGTTCACTCCCCTTCATATAACCCATACTAGTTGTATTGTACAAAACTATTGGGCTACTGAGTGGTACAGCTGTCTAAGGCATTGCATCTCAGTGATAGAGGCATCATTATAGACCCTGGTTCGAGGAGGTTCAGGGAACAAAGAGCTGATTATATCAGAAAGTAGATCAGATATCTTGTCAAAATCAAGGTTGTCAAAGGTGATCACTCTATCTTCCACCTCAGGACGGGTGGTGCTGCTACTATCTTCCACCTCAGGACGGGTGGTGCTGCTACTATCTTCCACCTCAGGACGGGTGGTGCTGCTCCTACTATCTTCCACCTCAGGACGGGTGGTGCTGCTGCTTGCCCCGCCTCCTCCCTGTGTGGTGTGGGTTGAAGAGGTTGCCCCACCTCCTCCCTGTGTGGTGGGGGTTGAAGAGGTTGCCCTGTCTCCTCCCTGTGTGGTGGGGGTTGTGGAGGTTGCCCTGCCTCCTCCCTGTGTGGTGGGGGTTGAAGAGGTTGCCCCGTCTCCTCCCTGTGTGGTGGGGGTTGAAGAGGTTGCCCTGTCTCCTCCCTGTGTGGTGTGGGTTGTGGAGGTTGCCCCGCCTCCTCCCTGTGTGGTGGGGGTTGTGGAGGTTGCCCCGTCTCCTCCCTGTGTGGTGGGGGTTGTGGAGGTTGCCCCACCTCCTCTCTGTGTGGTGGGGGTTGTGGAGGTTGCCCTGTCTCCTCCCTGTGTGGTGGGGGTTGAAGAGGTTGCCCCGTCTCCTCCCTGTGTGGTGGGGGTTGAAGAGGTTGCCCCGCATCCTCCCTGTGTGGTGGTGGTTGTGGAGGTTGCCCCGCCTCCTCCCTGTGTGGTGGTGTCTGAAGGGGCTGCAGTCGAATGGGGCTGTAGTAGTTCTCTGATTTTAAGAACTACACACTCCTTAGCTGTTGTCTTGAAGTCGTTTTCAATGAGAATTTCTGTCTGTTCCCTAATATTCTCCTCAAACAGTGCCCTGTGATATGGTTTGATTTTACAGTCCGTCCTGAAACAGTTACTGCACGTACACGTTGAACATCTACTACAGATATCCCTCCAAGGTATTGCAGTCAGAATAGAACAGATATCCCTCCAAGGTATTGCAGTCAGAATAGAACAGATATCCCTCCAAGGTATTGCAGTCAGAATAGAACAGATATCCCTCCAAGGTATTGCAGTCAGAATAGAACAGATATCCCTCCAAGGTATTGCAGTCAGAATAGAAGTTGCAAAAAGCAGAACCAGAACCAGTACCAAGCCATAAACCTGAAACAAAATGTTAAAGGTAATTTAATATTGATACCAAACAATACTCGTATCCACCCCCCCAATACTCTGGTCTCCCCTCAATACTCTGATCGCCCCCTCACTACTCTGGCCTCCACCCCCCCTCAATACTCTGGTCGCCCCCTCAATACAATGATACACCCCCCCTCAACACTCTGGTCTCCACCCCCCCCCTCAATACTATGGTCTCCACCCCCCCTCAATACTTTGGTCTCCACCCCTCAATAATCTGGAGACTTTCAATAATCAATAACAAGTAAATAATGAAAGGTACTCACCATGGACTCCCTTTTGAAATGTGTTTCGAGTTGCTTTTCTAGTTCCTCTTGGTAGGGTGTGTCATCAGTGTTGTTCTTGCAGGGAAGCATTGCTCTTTGATAGCACACGTACCAGTCCCCATCAAGGAGTACAGACACAACCCACAGCAACCCTATAGCAGCCGCCTTAATGAGGATTGCCAACAGTATTCCCCACAAATTACATCTGCATCTGCATCTGCATGTCATTCTCAAGATACGTTGAAACTGTCCATCCATCCAGAGAGTCAAGAGAATCAAGATCAGAGCTGGCAACACCATGTAGATGTGACACTGGTTATAAGTGACCTCTGGTTTAACACCATGTTTACAAGTGCATTTCAAGTGTTCATCAAACACAACGTGGTAAAGAAAAAGAGCAAAGGTGGTCATGTAAAAACTGCCTGTTTTGCTCACTTGTGAGATCAGAACGTCAAATCCTGGCATTAAGTGCTCCATGTTTCACCTTAGTATCAGAGATTCTACAGCGTCCCCTGACTACCGTCCTGTCTACTTTCCTCTCCCCAGATGAACAAAGTGATGATGTTAGCTGCTGGTACACCTCTACTAGTCTTTTTATACCTCTGCTAAGCACACCTCAGTTGCAGCTCCATCCTGTTGTTTCAAAGTCTGTGGTTTTGTCTGCCAAGATGGTACAGAAAGCAATGCCAATGTTAGAGTGTACCCCCTGCACTTTAAGGATGAACAACTTGTTAAATAAGAAAATGATGCCTTTAATTTCAGAGAGACTTATCAAAATGAACAACATAAACATATGCCGTAATTACAATTAAATGAATAAATAAATGCACACATACAGTGGGGAAAAAAAGTATTTAGTCAGCCACCAATTGTGCAAGTTCTCCAACTTAAAAAGATGAGAGAGGCCTGTAATTTTCATCATAGGTACACGTCAACTATGACAGACAAATTGAGAATTTTTTTTCCAGAAAATCACATTGTAGGATTTTTAATGAATTTATTTGCAAATTATGGTGGAAAATAAGTATTTGGTCAATAACAAAAGTTTCTCAATACTTTGTTATATACCCTTTGTTGGCAATGACACAGGTCAAACGTTTTCTGTAAGTCTTCACAAGGTTTTCACACACTGTTGCTGGTATTTTGGCCCATTCCTCCATGCAGATCTCCTCTAGAGCAGTGATGTTTTGGGGCTGTCGCTGGGCAACACGGACTTTCAACTCCCTCCAAAGATTTTCTATGGGGTTGAGATCTGGAGACTGGCTAGGCCACTCCAGGACCTTGAAATGCTTCTTACGAAGCCACTCCTTCGTTGCCTGGGCGGTGTGTTAGGGATCATTGTCATGCTGAAAGACCCAGCCACGTTTCATCTTCAATGCCCTTGCTGATGGAAGGAGGTTTTCACTCAAAATCTCACGATACATTCCCCATTCATTATTTTCTTTACACGGATCAGTCGTCCTGGTCCCTTTGCAGAAAAACAGCCCCAAAGCATGATGTTTCCACCCCCATGCTTCACAGTAGGTATGGTGTTCTTTGGATGCAACTCAGCATTCTTTGTCCTCCAAACACGACGAGTTGAGTTTTTACCAAAAAGTTATATTTTGGTTTCATCTGACCATATGACATTCTCCCAATCCTCTTCTGGATCATCCAAATGCACTCTAGCAAACTTCAGACGGGCCTGGACATGTACTGGCTTAAGCAGGGGGACACGTCTGGCACTGCAGGATTTGAGTCCCTGGCGGCGTAGTGTGTTACTGATGGTAGGCTTTGTTACTTTGGTCCCAGCTCTCTGCAGGTCATTCACTAGGTCCCCCCCCCCCCCCCCCCCGTGTGGTTCTGGGATTTTTGCTCACCGTTCTTGTGATCATTTTGACCCCACGGGGTGAGATCTTGCGTGGAGCCCCAGATCGAGGGAGATTATCAGTGGTCTTGTATGTCTTCCATTTCCTAATAATTGCTCCCACAGTTGACTTCTTCAAACCAAGCTGCTTACCTATTGCAGATTCAGTCTTCCCAGCCTGGTGCAGGTCTACAATTTTGTTTCTGGTGTCCTTTGACAGCTCTTTGGTCTTGGCCATAGTGGAGTTTGGAGTGTGACTGTTTGAGGTTGTGGACAGGTGTCTTTTATACTGATAACAAGTTCAAACAGGTGCCATTAATACAGGTAACGAGTGGAGGACAGAGGAGCCTCTTAAAGAAGATGTTACAGGTCTGTGAGAGCCAGAAATCTTGCTTGTTTGTAGGTGACCAAATACTTATTTTCCACCATCATTTGCAAATAAATTCATAAAAAATCCTACAATGTGATTTTCTGGGAAAAAAATTCTCAATTTGTCTGTCATAGTTGACGTGTACCTATGATGAAAATTACAGGCCTCTCTCATCTTTTTAAGTGGGAGAACTTGCACAATTGGTGGCTGACTAAATACTTTTTTCCCCCACTCTAATTCGATAATTACATGAATAAATAAATGCACACATAAATAGATAAATAATTATTTAAAAAATGTATCAGACTCATTTTATTCATTTATAATAATTATAGATTTATTTATATCTGTATATCTGTATTTCTTCCTCCAAATATGATAATTAGGATGTGTCAATCAAATGTATATGGGTGGTATCTAACACCATTGTTTGATCAATGCCACGGAGCGATGCTTGATTGCATTTGCCTAGGCTGTGATCAGTATGACAGAACGGTGTTCGACGCAAACAATAATGTGTAGTGCATATATTTAATGTATCAATATGATGTCAATTTCTTGGGGGGGACATTGGAAATTGGAGATAAAATCTATTATATGCTGCTGTGCCACCATAAAAACACACAAAAAGAACCTGAAGTAGAAACAGGTGAACAGTTTCGGAACACTGTTCCATTGACTGCCTGCCTGCACCAGGTGGCTGTGTTACGAGGGGTTGGTTTTGACACCGGACTACAACCAGATAGTTTTGAACCTAGAAGAAGACCGAGAGACGAGATAGATCATCTACAGCTTAGCAACAGCCAGTTAAGCAACAGCTAGCTTAGCAACAGCCAGCTTAGCAACAGCTAGTTTAGCAACAGCCAGCTTAGCATCAGCTAGCTTAGCAACAGCCAGCTTAGCAACAGCTAGCTTAGCAACAGCTAGCTCACCAGGCAGTGGGCTCTGGATTGTTTCTGTCTGAGTTTATCGTCATGTCGGACGAGGAGTTGGAGTCAGAGGAACCAACAGAGGTTGGTAAGATGGCGGACAGGAAAAAAAGGAGGAAAGTGGAACATATTATGAGGAAATATGGAGTGGAGAACAGAACTTCTGGAAGAGCAGCAGAAGGAAATTTAACATGACGAGAGTGAGGATGAATTAACTGTGGTGGCAGGTGTGAGTTTGAGCCTAGTCCTGATAGTGATAAAGATGTTTCTGGCCCAGTGGGAGTGAGATTATTGGAGAGAACGGATCATTTTCTGTCTGATCCATATGTGGTGTCAGGTTGGAGGGGGACTGTCGGGTCGGTGAAAGTGACTTTGTGAAAGTGACTTTTTTTGTGTTTCTAATGTCCAGAGGGAGCGTGCGATCCGCACCACGCAACTAGGGACAAGAACTGTGACTTGCTTTGCTCTCTGGCAGCGTTGAATGGAGTGATAACTGGAGTGGCGTAAAGTGTGAGGAGGATCAACTGAAGTTAAAGATTCCCGGTGTTTGTAACGCCCACCGCTTTGGTGCGACGCAGAGTGTCGTGAAACAGAGAAGACACTGTCTGTACTATTGAGTTTTGATGCAGTCTTTACGAGATAAAGTCAAGTTAGGATGTGTCAGTTATCCCGTGAAAGATTTTGTCCCGAACCCATAACAGTGTTTTAGGTGCCAAGCTTAAGGTCAAGTGGCAGCAGTGTGTAGGAGGAAGAGTCCTAGATGTGAGAAGTGTGCAGGAGACAAATGAATGTGTAGTATCGGTGGAGAAAGTTGTGTGTGTAAACTGTAGGGTTACCCATGGTGCTCGGTGTTCGGTGAGAGAAAGGCAGGTTGAGGTTGCCAGGATCAGAGTAGTGCAGAAGGTGTTGTATGCTGAGGCAGTGAAGAAAGTAGAGGAAGATGGGTCCAGGGTGAGGGATCCTAAAATCATCATCCATCTTTGAATCAGTTTGACTAACAGTTACAAAATTAGGTCTCAACAATCTCAACAATCAGTAACAACAACAACTAACAGTCAAATACGGAGGAGCATGAAGTTGTCATGATGGAATAAGTGAATATATATGAGGCTAGCCACAATAGGGATTACACACAACAGCGGAATTTGCTGTTCACCTTAATAAACCACCAATGAATTAGAACGCCGTCTATCGATGATTGGTAACACTTTACTTTACACCCAGCGTCATAACATGTTATGACATGGTCATACCCCCCCCCTGGGATTGATTTGCACTTTTCGCACCAAAGTACGTTAATCTCTAGGAGACAGAACGCGTCTCCTTCCTGAGCGGTATGACGGCTGCGTGGTCCCATGGTGTTTATACTTGCATACTATTGTTTGTACAGATGAACGTGGTACCTTCAGGCGTTTGGAAATTGCTCCCAAGGATGAACCAGACTTGTAGAGGTCTACAATTTCTTTCTGAGGTCAGCTGATTTATTTTGATTTTCCCATGATGTCAAGTAAAGAGGCACTGAGTTTGAAGGTAGGCCTTGAAATACATCCACAGGTACACCTCCAATTGACTCAAATGATGTCAATTAGCCTATCAGAAGCTTCTAAAGCCATGACATCATTTTCTGGAATTTTCCAAGCTATTTAAAGGCACAGTCAACTTAGTGTATGTCAACTTCTGACCCACTGAAATTGTGATACAGTGAATTATAAGTGAAATAATCTGTCTGTAAACAATTGTTGGCAAAATGACTTGTGGCATGCACAAAGTAGATGTCCTAACCGACTTGCCAAAACTATAGTTTGTTAACAAGAAATTTGCGGAGTGGTTGAAAAACAAGTTTTAATGACTCCAACCTAAGTGTATGTAAACTTCCGACTTCAACTGTATATCCATCCTGCCCTGCCTTTCGAAAGTTTTTGAAAGCCAAGTTAACAAACGATCACCGACCATTTCGAATTCCACCGTACCTTCTCCGCTATTCAATCTGGTTTCCGAGCTGGTCATGGGTGCACATCAGCCACGCTCAAGGTCCTAAACAATATTATATCCGTGATCGATAAAAGACAGTACTGTGCAGCCGTCTTCATCGACCTGGCCAAGGCTTTCGACTCTGTCAATCACCGCATTCAGACTAAATAGCCTTGGTTTCTCAAATGACTGCCTCGCCTGGTTCACCAACTACTTCTCAGATAGAGTTCAATGTGTCAAATCGGAGGGCCTATTGTCTGGGACTCTGGCAGTCTCTATGGGGTGCCACAGGGTTCAATTCTCGGGCCTACTCTATTCTCTGTGTATATCAATGATGTCGCTCTTGCTGCTGGTGACTCTC